AGATACAAGATATGACCGAATGATACTTAGAAATGTCTTTCAAAAGTTGGGTTTTTGGTGGTGAAATCAAGCAAATTCGGACTGAGCGGGGTATTCGGCTGTCCCAGAATTTTGCCCTTGTCCCAGAATTTTGCCGCCCACTCTATGAGTGGGGTTCCTTTTTAGTCAAACCCACGAGTAAACATAAATCCTCTCGTTAGGGCTAGTATTATTCAACCTTCCCCTCAATCGCTAATATCAGTCGCGACATATTCCGTTCTGGCACGATTATTCACAACTTTCTAAGTTCATCAGCATGGAGTCTTACAAAAGTCTGATGTCCCTCCTCCTTCTCTTCACTCATTTGGCCCATCTCGCGCAAGCAGTGGAATACAAGTGGGTTTTCACCTATGGAGACCCCAACTCGAACGTCGTGTGTCATGCTGGATTCAGCATCTTCCTCCACACTCAGAGGCCGTACAATGCCCCGTCTGCCAAATTGATATTTGTTGAATGCGCCACCAATGGAGGAGACCCGGGACACTCGAGTACAACCGTCCTCTCATTAAGTGGGTCTCAGGCCCCTCAAATTTACATCACGCCGCTGGACCCTCATACAAGCAGAGGTGATGTGGGATTCGAGATCGGCATCAACCAGCCTGCGCTCAACTTTGCGGATAGGACAATACCCGCAATGAACCCAAGAGTCAATATGTACACTACCGGCACCGGTGTGTTTCTCGGACATTGTTCGTACAGACAAGGTGCTATTCAACTTGCGCAATATAACGGGCAGGCGGAAATTCCTTACACGCCTCTCCCAACACATGACGACTGCCCAGCAGGCACTAGTCAGGATAGGACTCAAAGCATTGGCCGCTGGTTGTTGTGCCAATTGGGTTGTGGCAAATTTTAAGAAAAAGTTCGTTAATTCTCCCCCCCTTACTACCGGCTTGACTAACGGCGACATTTAGGCTATCAAATTGACAATATCGCCTTCCTTTTCTGCTATGTACGAGAGCCTTGGCGAGTGTTCATGGATTTCGGCAGTGGCTTAATACATCGAACCTTACAAGGGTGCGGCGAGGTTGGCTTAGGGTTTTTAAGGTTAGGGCTACTATATAGGCTATATAGGTTTTTTGCCGTGCTGAGGTTTTCCTATATCTCGAGCTATCAATAAAGAAAACAGTATCCTTATATCAGTAATAGTGCAAGTAGGGGTCGGGTTGTGTTACTGTTAGATTAGCGGCTGGGAATTATTGGATACGCGAGTAGGGTTAATATCCAATTAAAATAGGGTTAATTTTTCACCCTTCAGGATTAATCTCGTCCCCAGGAACTTCTGTCTCTGTTCTTTCCTTTTAGGTGTTGTTAGATACGCACGAATACGATGGGGTGAGTGTATCCAAGTGTGGACCAGAATGTTGTGATGTTATTGATTGTTGACTTGATTCTTTGATCAGTCTGTAAAAGAGGGGTTTCACCCCTCTTTTGGATACAAGAATAATATTGCAATAATGGGAGTGGAGCCCATTCCCAGCCGCCAATCTAACATTTGCCCGGCCCGCTCGATCGACCCTCTCGGAAGTCAGCGCTGCCCACAAATCAAACAAATCAAATCCACGATCATATTTGAGATATTTGACAGTCTCCAGTGCTGGATTTGTTGTTTGAAATATTTGATCAAATACTTCAAATATTTCAAATCTCGGCATCTGTGCTCTCCATATTACTATGTCCAACATCCCACTGGAGTTCATCCCTCCCGCCCGTTATCGCCCCTAGCTTCACCGCGCCATGCCTGACCCAGTTTTTGAGGCATTGCAACTTCTCTAACGTTTCCGTCGTCATTGAGAGTCTCTGCGACGTCAACGTCAGCTTGGCCAGGCTGAATGACCTCTCACAATCAGTCGCCATCGCCGGTATCGCAAGTATATCGAGAGCCAGCTGGCTAACCATGGGAAACTGGCCCTGCCGACCCATCCACCATTCAATTGGATCCTCGATTTCTTGTGGCTCCAGCCGCAGATATCGCTCCAGCTCGCTACCCATCACCGTAGTCTTCGCCGTCCTGCTTTTGACCCATTGCCTGAACACGCTACCTTCAGATATCTTTCGTGGTACGACGGGGGACGTCGCTGTCTCCACAATCGCCTTCTGCTGCTCATCCACTGGCCGGCTGCAGCGGTACCAGCGGTCAAGGTAGTCAGACAGCCCAATCTTGGCATCCCTCACCCACACAAGTTGCTCCTCTGACGCCCAATTCACCTCCAGATAACTCATGCCGAGCGACGGGTGGAGGATGATAGATGCGGCGAATAACGGTGACTCTCTAAGCTTAGTGTAGTACTCATTGAGTTTCTGCCAGGCGGTTATAATAGAGAGTCTCAGATAGCGTCGGTAATCCTCCCCCACGTCGTTGATTCCCGATGATCCTGATGGCTTGCCTGGTCTATTATTGCATTATCCTGATGCATGACCTGGCAAAAAGCTCCCCATTGACTTTCGTGGATGCATATTTATCTCGTAATCTCTGAACCTGGCAGGAAGCTGCTGATATCGATCTGGTTGCCCTTGGGCTAATTTGACCTTAGAATTGGTATTCTCTCCTCCTGCGTCCTCTGGGATAACATGATAGAATAACTTTCAATCCTCTAGGTGTTCCAATAAGTACTCTATACCTGTTATCACCTCCTAAAGCCATCTATTACCTCCCTTGCTACCCCAGCCCTGCGTTCTTATAGTCTATAGATAGAATGGCTTAAGGATATGCTTGATTTCTGCTAAGAGTTTCTAATTATCTGCCTTTAGCATATTGGCCTCCGGTAGCCACTTTTCTACCTCTGGATAAACCAAGAACGCCCGGATGTCTCCCTGCTTAATGAGTGCTTGAGAGATTATAAGGTAAGTGGAGTTCTATCTTATGTCGTTATTTATAATAACCTCTAGCTCTGCCGTCGACTTGCCTACCAAGAGATATTCTTATGCTTTGTTGTTCTCTCGCGAGATCCTCTTGAAAAGCTTACTCCTCTGAGGAGAAGACCTAATGAACTTAATGATATTGTAGAGCTTCCCTACTGGCCCCTTCTTTCTCCAGTGTCATAGATCGTCCTTATGGCGGCCGAGGAAGTTGAAGACCTGGGATTTAGCCTTAAAAGCCTTAAAATCTTCGCCGTATAGGAAGGCGTAAGTAACCAGGTTTAAGATGTATCCATAGCAGCGCATATGTCTAGCACGGATGTCCACCAGGCTTATTCCTGTATTAAGATCTCCGTAGAAGTTTAGAAGGCAGGTGTCGTTAGAAGATGCGTTGTCTGATATTACTGTCCCGACTTGATCCTCTATCTTCTACTCGTGTACAACTTGCCTAAGTGTCGCCGTGAGATTCTCTCCGCTATGACACCCGAGCTGGCGTCGGAGTGCCAGCAGGCGCGACTGCTGCTTCCCCTGGCCATTAAGAAAATAAGCCGTGACTGCCATAACAGCGTGTCGATTCGGTGATGTCTACAGGTCGAACCTGAGATAAATTTTACTAAGGGCATCTGATAGTTCCTGCCTGACCATATCCTTCTTGGTCTTGTACATGTTATCCAACAAGCGGCTTATCGACTGCCGGCTCCATAATACCTGGTCAGATAGATGCGGATCAAGTTGCCAGGTAAGCTGCTAAAAGAATATATCACTAAAGAAGGAGAAGGGAACGTTAGTATTAATCAGAAGCCCCAGGCTTAGTTCTCGGATTATCGCGACTCTAGCACGCGGCACGGCGCTGTACTATAAGCGCCGTCGCTTAGGCCGTTTAGTCTCATCGGTTAATGGGTCTATGTCGGCGCCTTGATGTTAAACAGGTGCTGGGGTCTCACGTGCAGGCAGGGATACTTTAAGATTACAGCCGAAATGGTAAAACCTCTAAGGGGTAGATTTCAACAGAACACAACATGAATACACCAATTCACATCAATGAACCGAATACACGTAATGTCTGACAATTAAGAGTCTCAATTGCATCTCAGCGACCCGCGC